GGTCGTGTGTGAGGTACTTCTATCACTACTGGAATCCATCAAGTAATTTTCCCTCTGTTACTCTGTCAACAAGCCCAGCCCAGCCCATCAAAATACCCAGCTGATTCTTTGGGGGAGAGCAACACCAAGTCTGAGAGGACTGGTTATATTCACCTGTCCCGCCCGCCCGTGTCTTTTTTTAAGTTCTACTTCTAAATCCCGTGCCAAATATATGACTCATTTTTGTTACAATGCATTATTTTAACATTTCCCTTGTTGCCATCCTTTGTTTGACATGATAAATGAAAAAAAAAAACTATAAAAAAGTTGGAAAAAAAAAAAACCTAAAAAAAAATCAAGTCGGAGTGGACTGGTTATATTCACCTGTCCCGCCCGCTCGTGTCTTTTTTTAAGTTCTACTTCTAAATCCCGTGCCAAATATATGACTCATTTTTGTTACAATGCATTATTTTAAAGTTTCCCTTGTTGCCATCCTTTGTTTGACATGATAAATGAAAAAAAAAAACTATAAAAAAGTTGGAAATAAAAAAAACCTAAAAAAAACGTCGTCACTTAGTGTCTAGGGGTTCGGTCAGGGGGGGTCATTCAGGGGGGACTCAAGGGGGTCGGTCAGGGAGGTCTATCAGGTTGTGAGGGGATATCTTGAAATTTTTTAATTTTTTTTTTCATTCGGGGTGTTGGCTGCCCGCTGATCCCTGTGTATGAGTCTCTAACCAATGTTTTGCCTTTCGATAAGCCTAGTAGCAGATTTTTTTTTTTTAGCGTCTTAGTAATTGTTTTTAAAAGTGCCATTTTCAAAGTAGGAACATAATAATACACGTATTTGTAACAATAAAGACGTTTGATTACATTTTCCAACATGACTTGTTTTTCTATTTTTTGAAGACAAGTATTGCTATTCGCACTTAATTAGTAAATTGCATGTAGTTTGAATTTTTTGGACACGACTCAAATTATTTTTTAGATCTTAAATTACTAATTAGATTCTGGGGAAATATGACATGTCGATATTTTTTCATAATAATATGCATCGATTGAAAAGTTACAAACGTCAAGTATCGAGGCTAATTTAGAAATATAAAGGTGCAACTAATTGAGCAGTTTATCCAAAATTTACACTGTAGGTCATGCAGTTATAGTTCTAACATTGATAACATTGCTATTACTTTTACTCATAGTATTCGAATATTATGGGGGGACGCATCTTAATAAGTAGCGTGAACTTTAAGTATTATTCAACATTTTAAATACATTTCATTACGAAACATGCGTGCACATATTTTATTTAGGCATTTTTATATAGCGCTTATCATAAAGCTCTAAGCGCTTTACAATTATTAAAACATGTAAACTAAGTAAATAGAAATGAGACACTAGGATAGTAACTACTATTCTATAGAAACAATGAAAATGGCTATAAAAAGAGGACACTTTGACATATTTCCAACGTTGATGATTATCCAAACGTCAGTTGACCCTAAACTTTGACAGAATGTCTCCTGAAATCGGAAACTCAAATTACGGCTAAGAACGTACTATTGAGCGCTTCAACTGTAATGGAAATAGAAGTCAATGACCATTCTAAATGCAGGAGTTGTCGATGTTTGGATTTCAGATTACCGATAGAATCTTGAGCTCCAGCCTCGGGAGATTTAAGGGAGGCAATTCACTGGGGGATTTCGATTTTGATATCATGGAGGCAGAAATACCTTGGATTTGAATGCAACACTTTACCCGCCAGCATCAATGAGATGATTTGAAACTTTAAAGTTTAAGTGGTTTTTTTTTTCCTTTTCTTTCTGTTAAATAAATATCTAGTTACGTCATAGACTTGATCCAGCCTAGAAGTATTAGTATAAAATTCAAATCTTAATGGAGAAGACGGCTATATAAAATAGATGGAAATTTCAAGACCGAAGTAGTTTCTTTTTGATCTAAATCTAAGTCTTGAGACTGAGTAAAACAAGTGTTCTTATGATTTTCCCCTAGATCAGCGATTCTCAACTTATGGGTCGCGACCCTTTTGGGGGTCGCATGACCCTTACACAGGGGTCGCTTAAGACCATCGGAAAAAAAAACATATTTGTGAAAAAGAAACGAAAATAATGTTATAGTTGGGGGGGGGGGTCACCACAACATGAGGAACTGTGTTAAAGGGTCGCAGCATTTAGCAAGGTTGAGAACCACTGCCCTAGACCATCTCAAAAGATGGCTTCTCGGGTCCTTGCCTAAGATCATTCTTACACAGGGGTCGCTTAAGAACATCGGAAAAAAAAACATATTTGTGAAAAAGAAACGAAAATAATGTTATAGTTGGGGGGGGGGGTCACCACAACATGAGGAACTGTGTTAAAGGGTCGCAGCATTTAGGAAGGTTGAGAACCACTGCCCTAGACCATCTCTAAAGATGGCTTCTCGGGTCCTTGGCTAAGATCATTGATCATAGTGTAGCGTCGCTTCACGACGATCGCCAAACCCGCCCCGGTTGGTCTGCGATCTCCCCAGCCCCGTCTTGGCTGGGAAGTTCAGTAAAACATTGAGAGTGCCGCAAGGCCAAGAGACGCGCAGGGGCCGACGCCGAAGGGAGTACCCAACACATCTTGGAGCCACCAAACATAAATTAAAAAAAAAAAAAAATTAATAACAAAATAAATAAAATATTAAGCTTGTAGAGATCGAAGGGGAACTAAATAAACTCAATGTTGAAATGTTAAACTTTTCAGTTAAACGAGGATAAAACTTATAATTATAAGATAAACTCAAATAAGAATGAGTGCCATAAGCATCGTTTAAATTGATTTATTGAGTTCAAGTAGTTCTTAAATAAGACACATCAATTAACAATTCACAACGTAAATTCGTCGTCGACATTACAAAGTACGAGGTATTAATATTATCCATAAGGGGAAAAAAAGCCGATGATAGCTGATTGTTGTACAGTTAAATGGACATGACATCTGGTTACAAACCGGTACACCATATTAAATTGTACACGACACACCTGTACACATAATACCACACGTTGTGGGTATACAATTTGTTTTTTTTTATTTCAGTACATGCAATATTCAGTCATAGATCTAAGCCAATCCTGTTGTGTACAGCGTTGACCGCCGTATTAGCAGCAACATGAGCATATGTTCACGGTGCTTTCTAATGCACTTGATGAAAGGAAGCTGTTTGTCATTCGAGGGGGGGTACGGGGGGTGGTTCCGTAAAGTTTATGGGAACACGAAGTCAAATATACGTATTCAAACAATATTATTACTTTTATTTTTTTAAAATTACAAATTTGCTAAAGTTCAATTTTCTCTCAATATATCGATAAAAAAACAACAACAACGTTAGATTATAAAATAAGCATTGTTTGAATGAATGAATGAATGAATGAATGAATGAAAGAATGAACGAATGAACGAACGAACGAACGAACGAACGAATGAATGAATGAATGAATGAATGAATGAATGAATGAATGAATGAATGAATGAATGAATGAATGAATGAACGAATGAATGAATGAACGAACGAATGAATGAATGAATGAATGAATGAATGAATGAATGAATGAATGAATAAATGAATGAATGAATGAATGAAGGAAGGAATGAATGAATGAATGAAGGAAGGAATGAATGAATGAATGTTAATCAGCATGGCATTAATTCTCCGCCTAGTTAACTAATATTATTTTAAGGTTTTCATAAAAAAATGTTCTATTGAAGAGCACATTTCAAAAAGTGGTTCTGTCGATTTAATTCATCTCTTTACCATTGCCGACAGTCATCATCTAAACCAGCGTTTCCCAAACTTTTAAGTTTCACGGACCGGTGGACAAGTTTCGAAACTGCACCGGGACCGGTGCCAGATTTATTAATTACATTTTCTTTCTATTTAAACATCAATATTCATGCTCTCTGGACCGGTAACGTAACGCTTGCGGACCGCTGCCGGTCCACAGACCACCGTTTGGGGAACGCTGATCTAAACCAATGGAAATCTGCATTATTTTGTTGACTGAGCTGTGAGATGACAGTGACAGCGTCACACCTCTTGTTAAGCCAATGACTCGAACTACTGTGTCAACCCTCTGCTACGATGTTAAAACGGTGTCCTACCGCTATAGCCCCGAGAATTCACTTTGAAACAATCGAGTCCTATGTAAGGAAGCCATCCACTGGGATCACAGGGTTAAATCCACTGACCTGAAGGGGAGCGTTTCATCCAACGGTTTGGTGAAACAGCTGACATTAATGATGAAATCACCAGTTTAAAGGGGCGTTCACTTTGATCTATTTATAGAGCAGATCTCAACGTATAGCCTCGTACAACAATGTTAGGATGATAGCTAAGAGCGCAATTAAGTTTGCAAGACATACTCTCCACGCTTAATGACACAGGGAGGGAGGGGGTGATAGGGCTGGGGGGGGGGTCGGGCTCCATATCAGTCTTTACTATCTTAATTCAAAAAGAAAAGTACAAATAAAGATGTGATGCATTTTTTTAAAACAATTAATGCCCATGTCCTTAAGGAGATTCATTGACTGCTTAGTTCATTGCCATGGACTCAGCTTGTCATTGCATGGTATGAATCTACGTAGAATGTTAAAATTATCATTTTAACAGCGTAACAATAAAGACAACAACTTTCATAATATTTTTCATTGTCATGTTTTTAAGAGTATTATCAAGGAGTCTAGCCTCAAACAAAAACATTTATTCTGAGCAATTATAGAACACCCTACTGTCCACTAATTGGTCTCTTACTGTGCATTATTGGTCTCATCATTAAGAACATTTATCAAACCGCTTTAGAATTTGAATTTGTTTTTTTTGAAATACATTGAATCACAATCTGATTTAAAAGTTTCAAACAACCATTTATTTCTTCAAAATAATGTGTGATATTTTATAAAGCTGGATTTTAGTTTTTTAAAATTTTTTATGACATACTTAGATCCTTATCAAATTAATAACGGTTGCTAGTATAAAAGAAAATACACGTCGCTCCACAAAGTGCTCACGTTTGACCAGCATAAAAGTGCCATCACTCATACAATTAGTTCACTGCAGACTAAGGCCACCTCTTCCACTACCCGTTCTACCTTAAAGATCACGTCGGCCTCTTCCAGGTTATCTTTATGTTGCGACCGGCATACGGCCCGGCGTGTGTCAATTTTTCAGAGCCCCCGTTGACGTGCGAGGCCTCGCTGTAGAAGCTCGGCACCTTGAGCGTGCCCCTGAAGCAGCACCTGAACGCATCGGCGAAGCTCTGACGGAAGCGTCTGTTCATGAAACAGTAGGTGATCGGGTGAATGCAGGACGACAGGTAGGCCAGCAGCAGGAAGGTCGTTTTGAGGAGCGGGGTGAAGTGATCCCTGGCGCTCAGGTAGTCCAGCACCGTCCAGGAGTTGACCAGGAACAGCGGCGTCCAGCAGATGAAGTACTCCATGACGACCACGCACAACATCTTGATGACGCGTTTCTTGTTGGCCAGCACTCGGCAGTTGTAGGCCGGCCGGAGCACTTGCAGCTGATGCTTGCCGCTGGACGACTCGCTGGAGACGCTCCGTGCTATATGTCGGCGGGGTATCAGCGGAGATTGGTTGATTGGCGTGGCGAAACCGTTCTGCCGGTCTTTGCCGTCAAACCGCTGTGGGTCCGATTCTGTTGACGGAGTATGGAAGATGTTTAACAGTTTAAAAAAAAATAAAAGTGGATACCACTGTAGACACTCATGTGTATGTTTGTGTGCGTGGTTAAGAGACCCCCCACAATTTTTTTCCCCATTAAAAAAAAAAAAGCTGATTTGTCAGCTGTAACTTTTAATTAGGGCAGCTAAGTAGGACGGTGAAAGATGCGGCTGATTTCATTGAGAATATAAATAAAATGTTTGAATTAATTAGTGTTGAATTGGATTTTCATAAAATTTGAGAAAGTCTTTAGAAACCCCAGATTTCAAACAAAAACAAAACAAATTTATTTTCTGGTATCAGGGAAACAAAAATAATTTCTAAATGATGTAAACTATAGCACACACCTCAACAAAAAAAAAATCATAGAAACCTGGCAGCTTTAAGGGATGGGGTGAGCACAAGAAACGTTTACATAGTCTCTAAATAAAATAACAACACACAAACACACGCTCCCAACTCTCACACAGACCCATGTCAATGTAGGCTCTATTCATTGACTGGTGATGAGAAGTTAACTCAATACATCAAGGTTATGGCCCTTTATATACTAGTTGTCATATCAGAATACATAAGCGTGCAACAAACCAGGCCCGTTCTTAGGCATACGCTGACTACGCATCAGAGTAGGGCCCCTGACGTGAGGGGGCCCCCGTGAGGCGCCCTCGATCCCCCTTTTTTTTGGTTAAACTGGCACTGCAGCCGTCCGTGTCACTCACGTTACCTTCCTCATCCTGAAATGTATCATTCTGAATTGAATTCGGAGGCAGGGGAAGGGAAGGCCCCCCCTCTTTTTTCGGGGTCCCCCAACCTACGCTCCATGCTTAGGGCCCCCGAACTCCTAAGAACGGCTCTGAACAAACACATGATTATATTATTAATGAGCAAGACATAACGTTATAGGAGGTGAAAGGTTAAAGGTCAGATAACATTCACCACAGGAAAAGTTGAACAATCTCCACTTCCTAGTCATTAACTCTATAAGATTCATGTCATTTTTGCCTCTGCTTCACACGAATTGGTTAAAATTTAATGCACCCATTAAAGTTGGAAATTCTTTACAGCTGAAATGTTCCGTCTCACGATAATTGTCTTGATCCTGTTCTACTCTCAAAAACATGTGTCGAGGTTAAGCTCAACGATTTACTTCCGGGACATATTAATGTTTCATGGAGTTAAAATCAGTGTTGTTTCTAGGTGTTAAACCGTTTTTTTGCCGCCCTTGGTGAAAATGGAAAATTACCGCCCGTGGCTTTCAGTAGCTACACTCTCTTCCCCTATCAACATTCAATAATAGTTATAATTTAAACTTTTTTAAACCTTTATTTCATCATTTTTTTATCATCATTTGTTCATTTTTTTGCCATTTGATTTTTTAAAAAACAACCCCCCCCCCCCCCCCTTTTCAGTAGCTACACTCTCTTCCCCTATCAACATTCAATAATAGTTATAATTTAAACTTTTTTAAACCTTTTTTTCATCATTTTTTTATCATCATTTGTTCATTTTTTTGCCATTTGATTTTTTAAAAAACAACCCCCCCCCCCTCCCTTATCCTTTTGCCACCCTTAAATTTTGGCCGCCCAAGACGGCTTCCTAGTCTTGTTTAATGGTGGAAACGGCTTTGGTAAAAAAGAATTGTACAGAAATCTCCAAATTCAAACAAAATGTAATTATATTTATAAATTGGTCAGCGTCTTAAAAGCGAAGACTGTATAATGCGATACATCATTAAAGGTAGGATCTTTTCATAGTTTCAAAACGGTTACGTTAAAAATCTGGACTTCAATTTAAAAAGAAAATATATATATATATTGCCTTGAACTATTCTGGTCATTCTAAAATCTTTTTTTAAATGTCGTGTTAATTTTTGCAAATTTTTATGTGAAGCGCAGTGATCCAAGCCCCAGGCTGGGGGTACCGCGCTATAAAACACAGCTGTATTATTATTACTGTTATTTTTAAACTCTTCGTAACATAATCCATGTGCCACGCAGTAATCAAACATAATTTATGTTTTATTGCTTCTGATACTTTAAAGAGAACATTTATTTGTTTTTAAACGTGATTTGTTAGATGTCATGGAAGAGGAAGGCATGCTTGAAGTAGAAGTAAATGTTGAGATTGAATCTAAGAACCAGGATTAGAGTCGACCAAACAATTGTGATGATAGAGACATTAAGATTTTTATGCTTTTCATGCTATAGCCGAATGTACAGGCAACTTTAAAAATTTCTCTAGGAACGAGCTATATCTGCTTAATATTGACTTTAAAATGTTATTACGGCGTAGTGGGTTCAGAAAGACAGAACATCCACGTAAATCAAAGAGACATTGTAACGTCCACAAAATCAAGGCGACATTGCAACATTTCATTGTAGATGAGGTTTGGGCATATATCACACAACGTTGCGGGTACTCTAACTACAAAAAAAAAAAAAATGTGTATAGAAATGGAACTTCGAAACAGAAAGATGTAATTTTAAAGTGTTACAGGAAATCTGGGATGGGAGACTTCATAACCTTCACAGTCTGGCCATGTTTTACTTAACTGATTAAAAGTGAAGAAGTTATATTTCTTTAATTGTATAAAAAAAACAAACATAGTGACTCAAATGTTTGCTTGTATAGAAAAATAAGATAACTTTTAAGGACGACAGTGTTCTGTGTGGTTTACTGTGATCGTGCAGTAGAACTGTGCAGGAAATGTGCATTAACAATTTAAAGAAAAAAATGATCTCCCTCTATGTATATGTGTTTGTGAAGGTTATATGTGCTCTGCATGCTCTCTATATATGTGTTTGTGAAGGTTATATGTGCTCTGCATGTTACTCACCAACACTCTTGGAACATGGCAGCATCTCTAGAATTTCTGATAAATGGGTTTAGTCATGAGAAACTTGTATAGAACAATTTTTAATGTCAAATACCCAAACGATAACCCACCTTGGCCTACTGAGAACCCATCTTAGCCTACCGAGAACGTATCTTTTAATAATGCTATTAACCTATTTCCGTCTGCAAATATCTTTGGATTAGTACGGTTACCACATGCAGTAATGACACGACATATTTATAAAACACTAATGGCTTAGTGATTATTAAATGGTGGTTTTCTCTGCTTTTTGCAGCATTGAAAACTTAATTAAATATACATGAATTATGAATGTAATAATGCAAAAAAAAAATAATAATAATATGTACTGTTAAATTTAATGTTCAATTCATAAAATTATTTAATCTTTACACTTTTCTTCCATTAATCTTTGTGTTATAATTTTGCGAACTTCATACATTCGATATTTTAAAAGAGCAATGGTTATGTCTAAATGTTTATTTCGCATTTTTTTTAAAAAGTGGACGATTTTGTTTCGTTAAATTCACGACTTCGAATTGGGCCAGTCACGGTTTTACAGCCTATCGTTTACAAAAATCAGATCATGCACTGCCAAACATGCTAACCCGATAGAGGACTGCTGGGCTCCCCAGATGAAATGCAAACATCGGACCAGAGTTCCTTGGCCACTCTGGCATACGAGAAAGCCATCAGGAACAACGGAACTACGAGCAGGACCGAGTCCAATAGAACTGTGTACATAGACTCCCACAAATGACTTGGCCAGATTTCCCTGCAATGCAAAACACAACAATAGTGAACTTTTGATGGGGCCAATGCTTTTCATCAGAATCTTCACTCGTTCTATATTAGTCAATAAATGGGCTAAGAATAACTCTGTACTGATGATGGATAAAACACACTCGCCATGGTTAAATGATATAATTAAATAATAAATTCACAGGTATGTATATTTTTTTAAATTGTTTGTAATAATAAGAAGAAAGGAAAATATACCGAACATCAATCAATTTGACAGTGCGAGAAAAAAAACAACAAAATAAATCTTAAGAATTTATTTGACATGATTTAAACATTTTTATTTGCATGAATGCCATCAAAACTGGACCCAGTGGATTAGTTGGTTTCAAACGTGAAATCAAACCAGCTACATGTTTGAAATCATAACACATATTCTTTATAAATTGTTTTGATACAACATGTAGTGTTTTAGAAATAACTCAGTATACGGTTGACCTGTAACCTTTCCAAAGCACTTGACCTTTTCTGTGTAATGTTTTCATATGATACACAATGTTTAAAAACATATTTTGGCAGTGGTAAAGCCGATATCTATGAGACTTTACTAACATTTTTTAAAAACGCAAAGCAAGCTTAAAGTTAATCACGAACAGTTCAAATCAATCGGATCCCACCTGCAGGCGTGCGCTCCATTGAGCAGTTCGATGTCCTTGTTGAAGACGGCTATGGGGATCATCAGACTGACCGAGGTCAGCCAGATCGCCATGATGACCCTGTACGAGTGTTTCAACGTCTGCCAGCGCCTGGAACGGAGCGGCTGACAGATGGCGTAGAACCGCTCCAGGGATATGGCGACCAGCGTGGCACAGCTGACACCGACTGACACGGCTGAGGAGAGATTGGATAATTTAAGTTACTGACACGGCTGGGGAATACGTGAAAAAAATTAATTGACAACACCAATATCTGCTATGTGATATGTAAGGGGGGAAAGTAACAGAGGCGATCACGATTAATGACCGTATGATAGTGCAAGTCGACTTGATGTTGAGATACAATAATTTAAAAATGACCTTATAGAAATTGATTTTAAAAATTCTACACGCTTTTAAATTGGAAGATCTAAGCTCGCACCCAATGTCCAGATCAACCATTAGAGGAATGTATGTGGTACCCAATTTCAAGATCAAACATTAAAGGAATGTATGTGGCACCCAATGTCCAGATCAGCCATTATAGTAATATATGTGGCACCCAATGCCCAGATCAACCATTAAAAGGAATGTATGTGGTACCCAATGTCCAGATCAACCATTAGAGTAATGTATGTGGTACCCAATGTTTAGAGTAAATATTAGAGTAATGTATGTCAAGTATGGGGTTAACATATTTCATGTTTTGATGACTTGAGGATTTACGTGACCATAATCCCATTAAACGTGACCATTAGCACATTTAACGTGACCATTAGCATATTAAATGTGAAAATTATCACATTAAACGTGATCATTAGCACATTAAACGTGACCATTAGCACATTACAAGTGACCATGATCACATTAAACGTGACCATTAGCACATTTAACGTGACCATTATCACATTAAAGGTGACCATTATAACATTAAACGTGACCATTAGCACATTAAACGTGAACATTAGCACATTAAACGTGAACATTATCACATTAAACGTGATCATTATCACATTTAACGTGATCATTAACACATTTAACGTGATCATTAGCACATTAAACGTGACCATTATCACATTTAACATGCCTATTATCACATTTAACGTGACCATTAGCACATTAAACGTGACCATTACCACATTTAACGTGACCTTTAGCATATTAAACGTGACCATTAGCACATTAAACGTGACCATTAGCACATTAAACGTTACCATTATCACATTAAACGTGACCATTATCACATTAAACGTGACCATTATAACATTAAACGTGACCATTATCACATTAAACGTGAACATTATCACATTAAACGTGACAATTAGCACACTAAACGTGAACATTATCACATTAAACGTGATCATTATCACATTAAACATGACCATTATCACATTAAACGTGACCATTATCACATTAAACGTGACCATTATCACATTAAACGTGACCATTATCACATTAAAAGTGACCATTATCACATTAAACGTGACCATTATCACATTAAACGTGACCATTAGCACATTAAACGTGATAATTAGCACATTAAACGTGACCATTATCACATTAAACGTGATCATTAGCACATTAAACATGACCATTATCACATTTAACGTGACCATTATCACATTAAACATGACCATTAGCACATTAAACGTTACCATTATCACATTAAACGTGATCATTAGCACATTAAACATGACCATTAGCACATTAAACGTGACCATTATCACATTTAACATGACCATTAGCACATTAAACGTGACCATTAGCACATTAAGCGTGATCATTTTTTTAGCACAAGAAGCAAAATGTTCATATAACAGAGGTTGGCGTCATTTAAAAGAGATTACAAAAATGATAGAAATATAAACTTGATAACATCTGATCAAACATTTGATAACATCTCATCCAACATTTGATAACATCTGATCAAACATTTGATAACATCTCATCCAACATTTAATAACATCTGATCAAACATTTGATAACATCTCATCCAACATTTAATAACATCTGATCAAACATTTGATAACATCTCATCCAACATTTAATAACATCTGATCAAACATTTGATAACATCTCATCCAACATTTAATAACATCTGATCAAACATTTGATAACATCTCATCCAACATTTAATAACATCTGATCAAACATTTGATAACATCTGATTGTCACGGTCAGATCGCGGTCAAACCAGGTGAAGATAGGAGTGTGTGGGAAAAGGAAGTGAGTTTTATTGGGAGTAGACAGTGGCGAGTGCTGTGGATAAGGTGCAGGATTTTTTGTTTTGTGGAGAGAGTGATATTTTTTTCAATGGATGGGAGAGGACTTGTGGGAGAGTACATTCTCGCTAGGACTTGTGGGAGAGTACATTCTCGCTAGGACTTGTGGGAGAGTACATTCTCGCTAGGACTTGTGGGAGAGTACATTCTCGCTAGGACTTGTGGGAGAGTACATTCTCGCTAGGACTTGTGGGAGAGTACATTCTCGCTAGGACTTGTGGGAGAGTACATTCTCGCTAGGACTTGTGCGAGAGTACATTCTCGCTAGGACTTGTGGGAGAGTACATTCTCGCTAGGACTTGTGGGAGAGTACATTCTCGCTAGGACTTGTGGGAGAGTACATTCTCGCTAGGACTTGTGGGAGAGTATATTCTCGCTAGGACTTGTGGGAGAGTATATTCTCGCTAGGACTTGTGGGAGAGTATATTCTCGCTAGGACTTGTGGGAGAGTATATTCTCGCTAGGACTTGTGGGAGAGTACATTCTCGCTAGGACTTGTGTCACTATATTTTGTATAGTATGTGTCGCATTTTTGACACGTTTTTTTTATTCTGAACACCATAGATTATTTCGAATGCATTTTTTTCACTGTCTTGCATATAGAGCCGATAAATAGTAAAAAAACCTGAATCTATGAAACTTTTGTTTTGATACTTGAAACATTCATTACATCAGCTATGTAAGGGCTAGAAATAAAGGGGTTCTAGACACTTACAAATTGCTCTGTGGCTAGTACGCAGGGGACCGACCTCTGGGCAACGTACATCGCGTCAAACTGAACAAACATTTAATAACTTCTGATCAAAGATTTGATAACTTATGATCAAACATTTGATAACATCTGATCAAACATTTGATATCGTCTGATCAAATATTTGATAACAAATAATCTTATAAAGAAACGACACATACAATAACGAAATGATTTCAGTTACTGAGTACTGCATACACATAGTCAAGTACTGTTCTAAAGTGCAGGACCACATTCTCACAGAGTACTGCATACACATAGTCAAGTACTGTTATAAAGTGCAGGACCACATTCTCACAGAGTACTGCATACACATGGTCAAGTACTGTTATAAAGTGCAGGACCACATTCTCACAGAGTACTGCATACACATGGTCAAGTACTGTTATAAAGTGTGGGACCACATTCTCACAGAGTACTGCATACACATGGTCAAGTACTGTTCTAAAGTGCAGGACCCCCGCCCCCACTACTGGCTGACCACTGGGAATAGTTTGACTAATACAGATGTTTGGGAACCATTCTTCCAATATGTCTATGTTCCACAGCAACGCCTTCTTTTAGGTTTATGAATTTTTAAAAAGTTTGATGTATTATGACTGCCATAAGATTTTAACCTTAGCGTACATATGATCTTTATATGTCTATGTTCCACAACAACGCCTTCTTTTAGGTTTATGAACATTTTACAAAGGGTACATCGGCCACTTTTCTAAAAAAAAAAAAAAAAAAGTCGGGTTTGAGAGTTAGGAGACTCAACACAAGTTTATACCTGACGTCACACACACATTACTGGGACGTTGGGACGTCTGTTAATATCTGATTGAGAATCGTTGTCCCGGGTCAGCTGAAGTCACTGAAAGCGTAACGTTTTCTACAACAACACAGGTATTAAGCTGATGTTGTCTCGGGGCAACCCGGCTACTCAAGCAGCTCCGAACCTAATAAAGATATCCGAGTCATACGGTCCAACGACACCAGGTACGCAGCCATAAGAGACAAAACAGACCAGCAGGACTTCACGACACCAGGTACGCAGCCATAAGAGACAAAACAGACCAGCGGGACTTCACCCCCCCCACACACACCCCACACTTCCCCCTCCCCACCCCGCATCACAGGCAGTCCCAGCAAACTTTTTCTTTCTCCGCCACAAACATCGAGACATCGGGTTCGAATCTATTTGCATGCAGAGCGCTTCTTATTTCTTTATGTACCCCAAAAGCTGTCAGGAAGTAAACGTCCGGTCTTCTTTATTTGCTCTAAACGCTGTCGGGGAATTAAACACCCGGTCTTAACTCTTGAATTCAGACACAGACACGTATGTACTTCGGCCAAATTGCTCCCCACAGCCAGACACCAGAGTCCTTTTAAGATTAAGGGGAAAAAAATTAAGGAGTCCATGTCGAAGAGTTTGATTTAAAATACTGATGTCTCCTTGCAGTGGGCAGAAAAAGTAATTTTGATCAGAGGTCGTAATGTGAACTATTTGTTAACGGAAGTTTGATCAGAGGTCGTAATGTGAACTACTTGTTAACGGAAGTTTGATCAGAGGTCGTAATGTGAACTATTTGTTAACGGAAGTTTGATCAGAGGTCGTAATGTGAACTATTTGTTAACGGAAGTTTGATCAGAGGTCGTAATGTGAACTATTTTTTAACGGAAGGATCCGTCATTAATCTCTAAGACAAAGAAAACCCCCATACCGTTAAAATCACATGTTGCCAATTATTATGACACCGTTGCCCATTATTATGATACTGTTGCCCATTATTATGATACTGTTGCGCATTTATTGAGAAATAATTTTGGCATTGTGACCTACTTCATACAATTATATTTGTAAAAAATAGAAATAAACACATGTAAACTGCTCGCGCCTGCTTTGAAAAAGTTGACCCCCCCAACCCCTCAAAGGATTGAACCCTTTACTCTGCAAACGCTAAGTCTGAGAGGAGTACAGGTACCAGGGGAATCCATTATCCATGTGTTAACCAATTTGTGTGTGTTATGCTCCAGACTTCATACCTGCTTACATGAAATTAATAAATGACCCATTCGTCAAATTATTACCTTTTCATCTTTTAAACGCACCTTGTACGTCATCAGAGGGAGGGCGTATTACGTCATCAATAAGAGCGATGTAGAGTGTCATCTTTGAAAAA